TCTCACCAGCCACGCTGCTCCCCTAGGCACCACAGCAGCAAGGGGCAGGCACACGATCTCTCTATCAACAACAATTACAGCAGCTTCTCTGTGCCAGACACCACACACACAGGCTCGAGGGAGATGGCAGGGAACAAACCATTCTGGCCCCTGCCCTCATGAAAATTGCAGCCTCGTGGCGGAAATGCACTGCAGGTCCATAAGTGAATGCATCATGGTTTCAAACAGTGATAAATGCCTTGGACAGGATGAAACAGGATAATGGCATAAACAGCAATTGGCGGGGGTTTGAGCGGGGAGGGAAGGGACTGAAGGGAAAGGGAGCAGGCACCTGAATGAGGAGGCAGTTGTCTTGGTTATCTATAGCCGCCTAACAAACCCCCAAACTTAGTGGCTTACAACAACCATTTTCATGAGTCTGGTTGGCCTGAGTGGTTCCTCAGCCTGTTTCTCCTGGTCATACTTGCAGCTGCATTCAGTTGGAGTCACAGCTGAGCTGGAAGGTCCAAGAAGGCCTCGCTCACACATCTGGTGGCTGGCGCTGGCTGTTGGCCAGGGTGTCTCAGATCCCTATCACATGGCCTCCTATCCTCCAGCTGGTAGACCAGCTGCCTTATGTGGTGGTCTAGGAGCAGCATTCCAAGAGGGGGAAGGCACAAGCTTGCAAGGTCTCTTGAGGCCTAGGCTCCTGAACTCATAAAGGGTCACTTCTGCCACATTCTGTTGTCAGAGCAAGTCACAAACCCGCCCAGATTCAAAGGGCAGGTAAAGGGATGCCACTTCTTGATGTGGCAGTAACAGCAAAATATTTGTGGCCTTACTTATGGGACATGATCAGCCGGGTGTGGTGGCTCACACCTGTAATCCCAGAACTTTGGGAGGCCAGGGTGGGCAGATCATTTGAGGCCAGGAGTTCAAGACCAGCCTGGCCAACATGGTGAAACTCCATCTTTGTATTTTATAAATTTATAAATGTATATTATATTTTATATGAAAAGAGACATCATCTACATTGCAGATAGTAACAAAAATGATTTTGAAGTGTACCAAAGTTGTGATTAGTATGAAATCTTTTTTTTTTTTTAATTTTTTGAGACAGGGTCTCACTCCATTTCCCACGCTAGAGTGCAGTGGCACGATCATAGCTCACTGCATCCTCAAGCTCCCAGGCTCAAACAGTCCTCCTGCCTTGACCTCCTGAGTAAGCATGCACCACAACACCGAGTTAGTTAAAAAACTATTTTTGTGTAGAGATAGGGTCTTGCTCTGTTGCCCAGGCAGAACTGTAGCAACACTATCATAGTTCACTGCATCCTCAAACTCCTCAGCTCAAGCGATCCTCCCACCTGAGCCTCCTGAGTAGCTGGGACTACAGGAGTGTGCCACCCTGCCTGGCTACTTTTTTCTTATTTTTTTTTTGTAGCAATGGGGTCTCACTATGCTGCTCAGACTGGTTTTGAACTCTGCCTGGGGCTGTCCTCCTGCCTTGGCCTCCCAAAGTGCTAGGATTACAGGTGTCAGCCACAACACCTGGCCTATGTGGCCATCTTTAATCTGCGACATCATCCATGTCAAGATCTCTGGGAAGAGTGTTCCAGGCAGAGGAAGAGCAGGTGCAAAGACCCTGGGGTAGGATGGCATCCAGAGACCTGAGCCTTGAACAATGGTGTGATGGTTGATACTGACTGTCAACTTGATTGGACTGAAGGATACAAAGTATTGATCCTGGGTGTGTCTGTGAGAGTGTTGCCAAAGGAGATTAACATTTGACTCAGTGGGCTGGGAAAGGCAGACCCATCTTTAACCTGGGTGGGCACCATCTAATCAGCTGCTAGAATATAAACAGACAGAAAAAATGTAAACGAGAGACTGGTCTAGCCTCCCAGCCTACATCTTTCTCCTGTGCTGGATGCTTCCTGCCCTCAAACATCGGACTCCAAGTTCTTCAGTTTTGAAACTTGGACTGGCTCTCCTTGCTCCTCAGCCTGCAGACGGCCTATCGTGGGACCTTGTGATCGTGTGAGTTAATACGTAATAAACTCCCCTTTATATATACATATACATACACATACACATATATACACACACATATACATATACATATATATACACATATACACATATATACACATATATATACACATATATACATGCCAGTAATTATGTCCCTCTAGAGAACCCTAATACAAATGGGTTCCTCTACTCCCTTAGTTTCCTGTCCTATAAAGTGGGAACTAAGGATGTCTCCCTGCCTCCTTTATAGGAATACAGGATGTAAGATGCTTTGCTTCAGGGCTGGGTTAGGATTTTGGTTATTGGCCAGTGGCAGGGAGGAGAAGCCAATACAGGAGCTCAGGTTGGCTTCCCCCAAGCTCACCAGCGTTTGTTGAGAAGCACTGTCTGTCAGGAAGACACAGTGCTCACCACCACAGGTCATAGCAGGGGAGTCTGAGGGTTGCTGATCTTGCCAAGCTTATGGGATAAAAAGATTGTTTGCTGCCCCAGATGTGACTGAGACATACCAGATGCATCTCAGAAGAAAAGAGCTTCTGAGGGAGTCCTCCCCACAGGGAAGTCTATGGGGCTCAGGGAAGGCCTGGAGGAGATAGGGTTCCAACAAGGCTTTGAGGGGCACACAGGATTTGGCTGAAGGAGGGGAAACTGTTGATAGGAAAAGTGTAAGGGGCTGTGGAATTTAGTAATTCACTGCAACAAATGTTTGCGGAACCCCTGCCGTACCTCACGTGAACAGGACAGACAGACAGAGGCACTCCTCCACACAGAGGAGATACAACACAGGCCTCGAAAGGAAGTGATGATGCTTCAGAGGCCTGAGGATGAGTCAGGTCAAGCACTGTGGGGCACTGGGAGGAGATGATACCAAGAGGGTTCCAATGAAAGGACATCTGCAAAGGACAGAGAGGGGAAGGAGGGCTTGAGTTTCTCAAGTAAAGGCAACAAGCTGTGTCTGAAGCAGAGGGTCCATATGGAAGAGAGCGGAGGGATGAGCTCAGGGCCAAACTGGTCTCATGGGCTAACTAAAGACTTCATCCTTTATCCTGGCCAGGTGTGGTGGCTCACACCTGTAATCCCAGCACTTTGGGAGGCCAAGGCAGGCAGATCACTTGAGGCCAGGAGTTTGAGACCAGCCTGGCCAACATGGTGAAATTCTGTGTCTACTATAGATACAAACATTAGTTGGGCATGGTGGTGTGCGTCTGTAGTCTCAGCTACTCAGGAGGCTGAGGCAGGAGAAATGCTTAAACCTGGGAGGCGGAGCTTGCAGTGAGCCGAGATGGTGCTACTGCACTCCAGCCTGGGTGACAGGCTTTTGAGATTCCATCTCAAAGAGAAAGAAAGAAAAAAAAAAGGCTTTGTCCTTTTTCCTGAGGGCAATGTATGTAGGAACACCAGATTTAGCAAAATAAAATATAGGTTGTCCTGTTAAATTTGGATTTCATATGAACAACAAATAATTTCTGTAGCATGTGTATGCAATATCTGGGACATTCTTATACTAAAATATGCCTCATTGTTTATCTGAAGTTTTTTTTTTTTTTTTTTTTTTTTTTTTTTAAGACAGGGTTACACTATGTTGCCCAGGCTGGCCTCAAACTCCTGGCCTCAAGCGATCTTCCTGCCTCAGCCTGCTGAGTAGCACTATGGGTGTGTGCCACCATACCCAGCTTGAAATTCAGTTTTAACTGAGCCTCCTGTATTTTCTCTGGAGACCTTAAGTGTGGGATCATGGAAAGGTTTTAAGCAGGGTGAGGACAAGGTCAGATGTACATTTTGGGAAGCTCCCAGGATTCATGGGAAAATAGACTGGAGAGAGACCAGGAAGGGGCGGGGGATGAGGTTCCTCCTATTGTCCAGGCCAAAGAAGTGGAGGTCACCACCAGGAATGGGGCCATTGCATCATGTCTTCCAACACATCTGCCTCCCCAGCTAGGCATGTGGCCTTGGATAAACCCCAGCTAATGAAGCCCCAGAGGGCTGCAGGCCAGTGAGACCCCAGCTCTGCTGTGTGAGCCACCGGCATGGTTTGCTCCCTCCCGGATGCTCATCTGCCGAAGGGGCCAGAGGATCAGAGAGATTGTCCATGAGGGCCCGTCTGCTTCTGCTTCCGGGGCCCTCCGCCCATCCTGGGGCCCCCCCCCGCCCATCCTCTCTCTGATACCTCTCCTGGCGTGGGCCCACCAGGGTGAAAAGTCCAAACCTGAGATGCCTGGCTCCCAGATCATCCTTCCTGTGCCTCCTTGCTCCTTCTTCCCTCCCGCCATCACTCTGCCCGATGAATGCCTGAAAGGGCCCCGCATCTCCTCTCTCCAACCTCAGGTGCCAGGCTTGGTTTTGGAGAAGGGTCTCGGCCTGTGTTGACAGCCTGCGATGTGTGAAGCTAGGTCTTCGGCATCACTCGTTTTACTGAATCCTCACAGCAGTGCTACAAGGAAACCATCATCCCCATTTCACAGATAAGGGGGACTGAGGCTCAGTGGTCCATTTGCTGACCCAGTCACACAGCTGTGCAGGGGGCAAACCTGGAGTGGAGTCCAGGTCTGGCTGGCACCAGTGCTCTGCCCTCCCCCTGTCTCCATGAAATGTACCCAGGAGCCCCTAATCCCCCATTGATTTAGTGCTCGGGCTCGGTCAGCAGTCTTCTTGTTCCACTGCAGGCATGTGCAGCCCCGGCTCTTTCTGAGTTAAGCCAGGGACTGAAATGGGTCAATGATGCTCATCTGTTGGGAGCTTTATGGTTTATGAAGCCCTTTCCCATTTGTGCCCTCCTCACAACCTCACGGAGACTCTGCACGGCCCCTCCAGCTCTTGGAGGCTGCATTTTGCCGCAGTGAAGGCCACATAAAATATTAACAGGGCAGCTCCTGGCCCCGCTGTGACGTCAATTACGGGGCTGCTTGGTGAGGGCTGCGGATGCCTTTCCAAGGTGAAGCGGTGACCGGAATTCAGCTGGCTCAAATGGTGTCCCAGGAGGCTGGCTGTCAGGACTCGGAGAAGATGCTGCTAATGTGAGGCGTGGCAGGAATCCAAAAGCTTTCCTCTGATCTTTCTGGCTCCCTCAGGGCCTGGTGGCATCCTGAGGCTGGCGAGATGCATTCAGTCATTTGGCAGGTATTTACTGGGCACCTGCTGTATGCCAAGCACAGTGCGAGGCTCTGGGGAGACGGCTGTGAACGTGATGAGGTCTTTGCATAGTCGTGCTCCCTGTGTGGTTGAAGAAAGGGAGAAACCCAGCTCTGTGGGCTAGGGCAGGTGCCCACTCCAGCCTGAGGCCAAGGGATCCTTCCAAAAGAAGTCAGGGTGATACTGAAACCTGAAGAAGGAGCCCAAGTTAGGTAGGGAAAGAGGAGGGGTGAGAGAACAGACATAGAGAATACCTTTTGAGCTCGGATCCTGGTTCTACCTGTTCCTAGCCATTTATCTACAAATTAGGTTCCCAACACGCAGGGTTGTTGTGAGGACCAAATGAAGCCGTTGCTAGCAACAGCACAGTGAGGTGCCCAGTGGCTCAGGAGTAACTGCTGTGAAAATAGCTCCGGGCCACGCATGGTGGCTCACACCTGTAATCCCAGCACTTTGGGAGGCTGAGGCGAGAGGATCGCTTGCATCCAGGAGTTCAATACCAGCCAGGGCAACATATTGAGACCCTGTCTCTATAAAAAATAGAAAATTAGCCAGGTGTAGTGGTGCACACCTGTAGTCAGTCCCAACTACTTGGGAGGCTGAAGTGGGAGGATCACTTGAGTCCAGGAGGTCAAGGCTGCAGTGAGCCAGGATTGCGCCACTGCACTCAGCCTGGGTGACACAGGAAGACCTAGTCTAAAAAAAAAAAAAAGGAAGGAAAGAAAGAAGGGGAAGGAAGGAAGGATGGAAGGAAAGAAAGAGAAAGAAAGAAAGAAAGAGAGAGGGAAAGGGAAAGAGAGAAAAGAAAAAAGAAAAGAAACAGTCTGTGTTTTAGATGATTCCTTTGCATTGCCAGGAATTCTTGCCCTCATTTTGTAAGCAGAGAAACTACTGAGGCTCAGAGAGATCAGAGAGGTGACCCGACATGGCCAGGGTTATACTGTGGATTAGACCCCAAGTTGGACATGTGACCATAGGCTCTGACTTGGGCTTTTTGCCATACTCTATCCACAGGCAACCCAAGCAATTATTTCAGCTCAGTGAGACACAGAATCCCACTAGTGCTTCCCAGTATGAGTTCCTTGGCTGCATGTCCAAGGGTAGTCTCAGCCTTCTTTGCGGTAAGGCCACAGCTGTCTGATGCTTAGCCCAGGGTTGGGCTTTAGGAGGCCTGGGCATAGGCTTGATTTCACTAACCTGCTGTGTGACTGTGGGTGAATTACTTTCCCTTTCTGAGCCTCAGTTCCCACAGGGCCAGCTGAATGACCAGCTGTTATTTTCTGGGTCTCTGATCTTCCCAGTAGTGCTGTGGCAAAGGAACTACTTTAAATTCCATATTAAAGATGAAGAACCAGGACAGGTGCGATGGCTCATGCCTGTAATCCCAGCACTTTGGGAGGCTGAGACAGGCAGATCACTTGAGGTCAGGAGTTCGAGACCAACCTAGCCAACACAATGAGACCACGTCCGTACAAAAAATACAAAAATTAGCCGGGCATGGTGGTACATGCCTGTAATCCCAGCTACTCAGGAGGCTGGGGCAAGAGAATTGCTTGAATCTGGGAGGCGGAGTTTGCAGTGAGCTGAAATCACGCCACTGTACTCCAGCTTGGGCAACATGTGAAACACTGTCCCAAAAAAAAAAAAAAAAAAAAAAGGAACCAGTGGTCTGAGATGGACAAAGTGGCATGCACAAGGCTACACAATTACCAAGTGGGGGCCAGGATTTGGGGATAGCCCGTTGCTGGCAGAGCTGGCCATCAGTCCACCATGCTGTGCTGCCTCTTGGAGTAAGAAAGCCAAACTGAATTGTCTCCAACATCTTTATTATGGGCCTGTGATTCTGTGAGTTCCCTGCTGCCCCAGGCCTTCAGGGCTCAGTGACTTCATGGGGAAGCCATTTCAGGTTAAGCTGGTCCTCCAACTGTCCCCATTTAAAGTAGGTAACAGCCTAGTAGGCAGCACTCCCTCCCTCCCTCAGACACAGCCTCATTCCTCCTGAATGAAGAGGTCTAGCGAGGACAGTGACATGCCCTTTTTATTCTCCCCCACCCCTCTCCACCCCGCCTCCGACATGCCCATTTTATGGAAAAGAAAACTGAAACTCAGAGAGGTCCAACAACTTGCCTGGGTTTCCCCAGCTACTATAGAAGAGCTAGATTTGAGGCTGGGTCTGGTAACTCCATATCTTGTACTCTGAATAGCTGCAAGCTGGCCAGATTCAACAAGACAGCCCTCCTCCTTTTCTGGGCTCCCTCCCGGCTCCTGCAATCCTGCCTGCCTTCCCCCTTGCTCCCTCCCTTTTCTTGCCTTTCACTCAGCTGTCACTTAATGTTAGCTGTCAGCTGATTTCAGGTGTTCCCCTTCCTGGGGTGGAAGGGGAGAGGACAAAAGATCTTGGCCACTCACAAAGGGGGCTCTGGTGATGGGAGTTTTGTAATACGCAGAAGGTGTAACTGAATTCAATTTAGCATTCATGGAGCAGTGCCTGGATCCAGGACACTCAGCCAGGCATCCCAGGGGCTCAGATGGTGAATGAAACACAGGCCCCATCCTCCAGTGTTTACAGTCTATTACAAAGGACAGGGCTGCCTCCTAAGGAAGTGGGAAGCAGAAGATGTATGTAACAAAGAGTGTGAACCTTATAGTCAGAAAGACCTGGGTTCAAATCCTAATTCTTCATTTAATAGCAGCGTGACTTTGGGTAAGAGGATGCCTCCCTGAGCTTTAATTTTTCCATCTGTTTAATGGGTGTAAGAGGAATAGCTCCCATGAGGATTAAATGATACCTTATACTACATTAAATGACAAAACATAGTGCTTGATGCCCAGTAGCAAGCCACAGACATTCCTACCAGTGTCACTCTAGGCAGACAATGGATACCAGAGTCACAGTGGGAGTAGGTGGAAGGCGAGAGCACTTCTAAGTTGGAGAAACTTACCTCCTCTTTAGAGGAGCTAAGATTTCAGTGGGTATTAAAGGAGTGTAAGAAGCAGAGAATGAGGTGGAGGGATGGGAAAGAACATTCTGGAAACTCATGGGCAGAGTCTGGGAACCTGGTGGGCCTAGTGTGTCCAGGAAGTGGGTGATGACCTTGAGAAGATGGGCCAGGGGCAGGTTATGAAAGGCCAGGTAGAGGAGTTTGTATCTTTAAAGAGGGAATGGGTCCTACCCACGACCCCAGGGGCAGCTCAGTGCTGTCTCTGCAGAGGCCAGCCAGCCTCCTACAGGAGTCGGCCTTCTCATGTGGCTATGGTCCTCTCAGATCTCTTTATCTCCTGAGTCGGGGCCAGCCTGCCACCATTATCTACAAGAAGACAGAAGGCTATAACAATCTGCTTGCCTCCTACTAACATACTGGGGAGAAAAAGATGTTTTTTAGCATAGTTGCCTGGCAGAGAACCATGGTGAAAATTCAGCGACCCTCTCCCTTGCTTCCCAGGGTACAGTTTCAGCAGCAGCTGATGACAGTTATGCTGATAGCTCAACAGCTAGAAGAATGTTCTCAGGCTCTCTGAAGGTCAGGGGCAGTGGTGGGAAGAACGGTGAAGATGGAGCAGAGCCCCTGCTCTCTGTGCTGTAGCTGGGCAAGACACTTAACCTCCCTGGGACTCAGTTTCCTCATCTGTAAAATCAAAACAATAATACTGACCTTGCCTTAACCAAGAGACAGCATAGTAGCAAACTGCTGGCCCATGGCCTGCTTGCTATGAAGTAGGAGTTCATTACCTTCTTCACTCCAGGTCTTGACATGGTCCAAACACTTGTCTTTTGAAGCAACCCTGTTGTATCCTCTTGAGTTGTCATGACATTGTCTGCTGGTCTTCCAATGGTGAAATATCCTAGACACTCAGAGCTGAAAAAAAAAAAGGTACTTTGCCATTCATCATTGCAGCCTCTCATTTCACAGATAAGAAATCCAAGGCTCAGGGCGAAGGAACAGCCTTCTCCAGCTTTCCTGGACCATGCACAACAGCCCCTCCCACCCCAGCCCACCCAGTGGGAACCATGTGAAAGCTTGAGGCAGTTATTCAGATGGTTCAAGCCAAAAGATCTAGAAAATTCTTGCTAAGAAACACAAGCTCCCAGACCATCTGCAGAACTGAAACAAAAGCCTCTTTCGCCCTCATTTTAACTGCAACTCAATAGGTGTTGGCTTTGCCTTCTCCCCCAGAGCTGAGCTCCTCTGAACAAGCTGGTGGGGGGCGGGCGCTGGGACTGGGGCTCTGAGCTCCACCAGCTCATAGAACCAGCTCACAGATTGCAGCTAACAGGACATTTTCGCACTTCTTAATGCCAAAAGCTGCCTTGGGTGCTGGTTTGCTTCCAAGGCAGGCTTTGAAAGAGGGTTGGAAGGTTCTAGATGATCCTGAAATCTCTGTGCTCAGGATGCTCTTAGTTAAGCAAGGGGTGAGATTTGGTGTCAGCAAAAGGATATTGGGGTCAAAGTAGATAGTGCAAAATGGAGTTGAGTGGGGAAGGCTTCAGATGACTGCAAGAATCCGACTCTTCTAGGCCTCAGTTTCCTCATCCATATAGTGGGGCTAACAGCCTCCTTCCAAGTGAGGATGTGGGGAGATAATATGAGAGTAAAGTGTTCATCCTCAAATCAGGCAGAGGGTAAGTGATTAAAAAACAAGAGCCGCTGTCTGTCTGTGTTATTGCTGGTGGTTTTATTATCATTGACTGGGTCAGTAAGGTCACCTTGACTGCAGGTGGCCTACAGTGGGAGAAAAAGTTAAAATCCTATCTGGGTGACATTAATAATTTGTGGACAGGCGGCTACTCCAGCTCAAGATGGTAACCATGCCAACATTGCAAACGCCATCTCTCCAGAACAATATCATGTCTCCTTTGTAATAGGTCCCTTGGTGTGCAGACTTCTCAGCAGCTCAGAGTGTCTCAGAGTATCCAAGAGGGGAAAAAAAAAAGAAACCAGGACGTGCCTTTTCTGGGTCATCTATTCACTGGGCTCTGGTGGAGGGTTCTGGCAACGCTTTAGAAATGCAGTCCCACGTGAAGAGCAGTCGTGACCACTGGCTCTGGGTGGGATGCAGGTGAAGAATTCTTTTTTTTTTTGAGCCTTGTTGTCCAGGCTGGAGTGCAATGGCGTGATCTTGGCTCACTGCAACCTCTGCCTCCAGGGTTCAAGCGATTCTCCTGCCTCAGCCTCCCGAGTAGCTGGGATTACAGGTGCCCGCCACCACACCTGGCTAAATTTTTGTATTTTTAGTAGAGATGGGGTTTCACTATGTTGGTCAGGCTGGTCTCAAACTCCTGACCTCAGGTGATCCACCCACCTTGGCCTCCCAAAGTGCTGGGATTACAGGCGTGAGTCAATATGCCTGGCTTTTTTTTTTTTTTTTTTGAGATGGAGCCTCACTCTGTTGCCCATGCTGGATGGAGTGCAATGGCATGATCTCAGCTCACTGCAACCTCCGCCTCCCAGGTTTATGCGATTCTCCTGTCTCACCCTCCTGAGTAGCTGGGATTACAGGCACATGCCAACACACCCTGTCAATTTTTGTATTTTTAGTAGAGACGGGGTTTTGCCATGTCGGCCAAGGTGGTCTCAAACTCCTGACCTCAGGTGATCTGTCCACCTTGGCCTCCCAAAGGGTTGGGATTACAGGCATGAGCCACTGCGGCTGGCCAGTTTTTCTTTCTTTTATTTTTTTTGACGGAGTCTCATTCTGTCGCCAGGCTGGAGTGCAGTGGCGCGATCTCGGCTCTCTGTAACTTCTGCCTCCCGGGTTCAAGCGATTCTTCTGCCTCAGCCTCCCAAGTAGCTGGGACTACAGGCGCCCACCACCACGCTCAGCTAATTTTTTGTATTTTTAGTAGAGACAGGGTTTCACCATGTTGGCCAGGATGGTCTTGATCTCTTGACCTCATGATCTGCCCGCCTCGGCCTCCCAAAGTGCTGGGATTACAGACGTGAGTCACTGCGCCCGGCCTAAGTTTTTCTTTTTTAAAAATATTTTTTGTAGTCCCAACTACTTGGGAGGCCAAAGCAGGAGAATTGCTTGATGAACCTGGAAGGCAGAGGTTGCAGTGAGATGAGATCATGCCACTGCCCTCCAGCCTGGATGACAGAGAGAAACTCCATTAAAAAAAAACACACAAAACCCCCCCCCTATATATATAGGGTTTTTTTATATATATAAAAAATATATACACATATTATATATGTTATATAAATATAATATATTTATATACTATATAATATACATTATATAATTATATATTTATATGTTATATAAATATATCATATATGATATATATTTATATATGATATATAATATATACAGGACATTTCGCACTTCTTAAGGCCAAAAGCTGCCTTGGGTGTTGGTTTGCTTCCAAGGCGGGCTTTGAAAGGGGGGTGAAGGCTCTAGATGATCCTGAAATCTCTGTGCTCAGGATGCTCTTAGTTAAGACACAGGGGTTGAGATTTTGTGTCAGCAAAAGGATACTGGGGTCATATCATATATTATATATATAAATATATAATATATAAAAGTATATCATATATATGTAAGCATATATGTGTGTGTGTATATGTGTGTGTGTGTGTATTTTGTTTTTGTTTTTTGTAGTACTGAGGTCTTGCTATGTTGCCCAGGCTGGTTTTGAACACTTGGCCTCATGTGATCCTGCCACCTCAGCCTCCCAAAGCTCTGGGATTATAGGCATGAGCCACTGTGCCAGGCTATTGATCCCTTTTTACAAGTGACTTGCCTGAGAGTCCTCAGCTGGTGCACTGGCAGAGTAGGATTTGAACCCAAGACAAGAACCATGTTCTTTCTCAAATCACACCACACACGTGTGTTCAGGAACCCAGGGGGATTTTGTTCTGTTCCCCGAATGATACCCTGCACTAGGAGAAGACACAGACTTGGCTCCTCTAGTGGGGACCTGCTCTGAGCCCTGAGGCAACAAAGTATGTTTGACATTAACCATTGACCTCCCTCAGCTCGCTCAGGTGCTCTCTTTGAAGTTGTTCAAAGGCCCTGTTTATCGATAGGAGGTATAGCCTTAGGAATAGGTGACCTGTCCCAGGTGGTGACCCTGGTTTTTACTGATGAGGCTCTTGGGCGTTAGCAACTCTCTCCTAAGGGCAAAGAAGATGGGTGCTGGTAAGAGTGTGTGGGACTCTCGGTGGGAGGCTTATGTATTCTTTGTATAATCTGAGTGACCCCAACAGGGGAATCACACTTTGAGCTCTTCTCAGCTGACATCAGGGGGCAGTGTGAGGCCCTCAGACTTGGGCGTCTGACGGACCTGAGTTTGAATCCTTGCTTTGCCCATTCCCAGCTGTGTGACTTTGTTCAAACCATGGAACAGCTCTGTGTCAGTTTCCTTCTCTGTAAAACGGGAAAGGAGGCCGAGCTCAGTGGCTCACGCCTGTAGTGCCAGCACTTGGGAAGCCGAGGTGGGTGGGTAGCTTGAGCTCAGGAGTTCAAGACCAGCATAGGCAACATGGCGAAACCCTAGCTCTATTAAACAAATTAAAGAAATTGGCTGGGCGCAGTGGCTCACGCCTATAATCCCAGCACATTGGGAGGCTGAGGCAGGAGGAACATTTGAGGTCAGGAGTTAGACACCAGCCTGGCCAACATGGTGAAATCTTGTTTCTATTAAAAATACACACAAGGCCGGGCGCAGTGGCTCACGCCTGTAATCCCAGCACGTTGGGAGGCCGAGACGGGCGGATCATGAGGTCAGGAGATCGAGACCATCCTGGAGAACACGGTGAAACCCCATCTCTACTAAAAATACAAAAAAATTAGCCGGGCGTGGTGGCGGGCGCCTGTAGTCCCAGCTTCTAGGGCTGTCTCTTATACACATCTAGATGTGTATAAGAGACAGGCTTGCAGAGAGCGGAGATTGCGCCACTGCACTCCAGCCTGGGCGACAGAGCGAGACTCTGTCTCAAAAAAAAAAAAAAAAAATACACACAAAAAAATTAGCTGGGTGTGGTGGTGCATGCCTGCAGTCCTAGCTACCCGGGAGGCTGAGGCAGGAGAATTGCTTGAACCCGGGAGGCAGAGATTGCAGTGAGGCAAGATTGTGCCACTGCACTCCAGTCTGGGCAACAGAGCTAGACTCTATCTCTCAGGGGGGGAAAAAAAAAAGACTAAAAAATACATTTAACAGATGAAGCATAAGAGTTTAAATAATTTTCTCTGAAAAAATTAGCTGGGCGTGGTGGTGTGCGCCTTGTAGCCCTTGTAGCTTTTTAAAATAAACTATTTTGTTTTTTGAGAAAGGGTCTCCCTCTGTCACTCAGAGTGGAGTGAAGTGACATAATCATAGCTCACTGTAGCCTTAACCTCCTGGGCTCAAGAAATCCTCCTGCCTTAGCCTCCTGAGGATCTAAGCTACTTGGGAGGCTGAGGCAGGAGGATCGCCTGAACCTGGGAGGCAGAGGTTGCAGTGAGCCAAGAGAGCACTATTGCACTCCAGCCTGGGTGACTGGGTGAGACTCTATCTTAAAACAAAACAAAACAAAACAAAAGCAAGCAAACAAAAAAAGAGGAAAGGAAATCGGACCAGCCTTACAGGGGTATCTTGAGGGAAAAAAAAATGCCCAGTTCTGCAAAGCACCTTGCTTGGTGCTAGGAACGTGGTAGATGGTTCCTTAGAGTGCATGAGGATGGGGTCACCAAGGATAAGGCAGTGTGTGAAGAGGGCTCGGGACAAAGCCCTGAGGAACCCTAGTATTTCCGGGTAGACTAGAAGACAAGCCCACATAGCAAATAGAAGAGTAATGGCTGGAGCAGCAGAAGGGAAGCTGGGAGAGCCGGTCAAGGAAGGGTGAGCAGTCATGCCCAGTCCAGCCAAGAGGGCCAGGGAGGTGGGCACTATGAAGCGTCCTTGGCTTTGACAACAAGAAGGGCTCTGGTGGCCACACTGGAGGACTGGGGACAGGACCAGAGCACACTGAGCTGATGGGTGGGTAGGAAGTGAGGAAGAGGAGATGGGGAAGTTTGGTGAGAAGAAAAGCTTCATGGGAGAACCAGAGTGTCATTTACACATGTCAGAAATCAATTATTTAGAATGTTCCAGCTCTACCTAATTTTCACTGTTTTGAAATCAATCTTAGTCCAACCTGATCAGAAAAGCTGAAAGGGCTCTAAGCCCTCTAAGAGCTAGAAGGAACTGAGGAGGTGCCCCCATCCAGGGCTGGCCCTCCTCCCACCTCTCACTGGGACCCCCTCTTTCTGGGGGGTGGAGTGGATGATTCATTACTATCTAGAATGCTCTTTAAATATATTCACTAGGGGAAAGATCAGACTGGTTTGTTAACCTCGATTCCAACAGCAAAGGTGACTCTTCAAAGCATGGTGAAGCCTGGGGTGGTTGCCTCCTCTCAGGCCCACATTCAAATCCTGTTTCATGGGCCCCCAAAAGTGTGATCGTTTTAGCATCACAGCAGGAAGAGGAAAGCCTGGGAGGCAAGAGACCTGGTGTGGAGGCCCCAGCTCTGGTCACTCGCTGTGCAAACTAGGGCCAGCCCCTCCTTTCCCTCAGACCTCAGTTTCCCCTTATTCAGGACAAGGGGTTAGATAGGGGTGATTCTAAGGGTCCTGCCAGCTCTGACATTCCAGCATGTGGATATCTATTCTTTAGTCCTTGAAACAGTTAAGTCTAATTCTCCAGATGGAAAACAAGTCCAGAAAAGGCCTAGTCTCCAGTTCCCTCCCTTCTCCTTTCAAACACGTCTTACTCTCTAGAGCAAGATTCCAGGCCTGAAATATGGCTTCTCAATTACCTAAGGATGAAGCCTCAAATCTTCCACCTGGCATTTAAAACACTCTGTAATCTTGTTTTACCCAACCTCACTTCCCATTGTTAGGCCTCTCTTCTCACCATCTCCCAGGTCACTGCCAAGCCTTTGCCCATGCTGTACCCCAGGCCTTAATCTCTTTCCTGACTCTACTCCAAGATCCAGCTTATCCCTGCGGGCTGAGCATGCAGTAGATGCTCAGCAAATTCTCAGCGAGCCCAAGGCCCCTTCTCCTACACTGCCTTTGGCATGTTGGAAGTCAGTTGGGGCCCTGTTTTAAGCATTATTATATTCCTAGCTTGTCGGGCAGCCCAGCCCAGGGCCTGGCACAAGGAACCCTCAGTATCCAATGCCAGCCAGGATTGGGAGGGGCTCAGTGACCAGCCAGTTAGGCCACCCCAGCTCTTTGCCACAAGAGGAAGTCCAGCCTGGGTTTGGACTCAGATCCTGGCCCCACCACTTAACAGGCTGTGTAAAGTTGAGCAAGTCACTACCTTGCTTTTCCTCAGGTTCCACATTTTAAATATGGGGAGACCAGCTGTGTCCACGTGGGCTGGGTAGTGAGGATTAAAGAGGAGAATGCTCGTACGGGACTAGCACTGGGCTGGCTCCTAATGTGTCCTGAATATTACTTGTCTCGGCCTGGTCATCCAGTCCCCTCCTCTGGTGGAAGGCACAAGCCTGCCCAAGGCTATGTCAGGATGTGTGCGACTGCATGTGTCTGTGTGTGTGGCGGGGCCGTCCCCGAGGGTCGGACTCGATTCTGCCCGGACCAGTGCAGACCCAAGCACAGGGTGTAGCCTAGCAGAACCCACCGACAGGCAGGGCTCGGGGCGGGAGGGACGGCTGGGGCGGGGAG